CTAATTTTCTCTGGACTGAAATTTCTCTGGACTGAAATTTCTCTGGATCAAGGTTGAGGGACCTTAGACATTATGAAAATATTGTTGAGGGACCTTATACATTATAAAAATATTTGATGTCCTTTATGCTATAAAATCATAATACTAGGGACCTTAAAAAAAAAACCCCTTAAAAAAATTCATTTGTATTGACTTTTAAAGTTTATGACAAAAAATAAAGAAAAATGTTTGGAACTCTTTTTTTTTGAGACACCACAACTTGTTTGAATCTTAATCATTGATGTATGTGTGAGATTTATTTATGTATTTATGAAGTCCATGCCATCAATAGTAAAGATCTAAAAAGGTTGTAAGAGTCTCCATAAAAAGAGTCTCAATCATTATTAAAAAATAAAATAATTATAATTTAAATATAATATTTTATTTTATTAAATTTTAATTTATTTTATCATTTTATAACTAATTTAATAAAAAAAAATTAAAAACAATCACATCCCAAACGATTCCTTAATCTCTTTTTTTTTTTTTTTTCTTCTCTCAATCTTCTCTCTCTCTTCAACTTCCCATATCTCCTCTCTCTTCAACTTCCCAACATACCCACGCCTCTCTCTCTCCGTATAAATGTACCCATCACTATCACACTAATCACACTATCACTGTTTTGATTCTCACACACGCCACTTCTCTCTCTCTCTCTCTCTCTCATCAGTTTGAAAACTGAAGAACAATGTCAGGACGTGGCCGTGGACGTGGCCGTGGTGGAAGAGGCCAACCTCGCCATGACCGTCCCTCACCGTCGCCGGCATCATCTTCTGGTGGCCGCGGTGGTAACCACCACATACCACCACCGGCATCATCTCAGTTTCCAGCTCTTTCCTCTCCGACTCCACCATTGGCTTCATCTTCGGCTTCTTTGAGCCGCGACATGCAACTGAAACTGACTCTTCAATCTCCGGCTCCGGCTCAGCTTACGCTTCCTCCGGTGGTTCAAACGCCGCCTCCGCCGCAGTCTGTGAAGGAAGCAGTGCAGCCACCTCCTGCGTCGTCGAAGGCGGTTCGGCTTCCGGCGCGTCCGGGGTTCGGTACAGCCGGCCAAAAATGCGTTGTTAGAGCGAATCACTTTATGGTTCAAGTCGCTGAGAGAGATCTACATCACTACGACGTAAGTCTCTCTCTCTCTCTCTCTCTCTCTCTCGTTTTATGTATATGACATCTTTATTTATTTCTGTATTTTATATATTTGAATATTTGAATGTAATGTATATATTGTATCATGTACAATGTGTGTATGTTTATGTATTTATGTAAATCTGATTTTTTTTTTTTTTGGTATGTATTTGGGTGTGTATAAGCTAGTCTTATGCATTTATTACCTCTGAGAATATTACTATTTGAAATTTCTTTTGTATTTTTTCATTTTTTGAAATGCCTCAAACCTCCGTTTTATACAAGTACAACATATACATGTGTTTATATTGTTTATCAATTTCATATCCTTGTCTTATGGGTTAACATATTAATGTTAAAATCTTGAGTTTTGATTGCTTGCTTAGTTTTTTTTTTTTTTTTTAATTGCTATTTTTGTCCATGTATAATGTAGATGCAAATAATAGAAGTTTTTATGAACCAAGATAGTTTATGAAATATTTTGCCTGCTCTTTTTGAGTTTAGTATACTGTGTTGCATAGTAGTTTATTGGTTTCAGTTTTGTTTCTGTTGGCATTGCTGTTTTGTAATTTGCCTCTCTACAACTAATTCTTGTTATGGCTAAATCACAATTTCACTTAATGATATATATAGGTATCAATCACACCTGAGGTTATTTCCAAAAAACTCCATCGGGAAATCATTAACAAGCTTGTTGAATTGTACCGTGAGTCACATTTGGGCAAGCGACAGCTAGCTTATGATGGAAGGAAGAGTGTCTACACTGCTGGGCCTTTGCCTTTTTCTTCCAAGGACTTTGTCATCAAGCTCGTCGACCAAGATAGAGGAGCAAGGTTATCTCTATTTTGTGGTTTCATTGCAGTTTGTTATAGTTGAGTTGTAAGAGCATTGAAAATAGTAACCTTATTATCAATTGCTTTTCAACTCAAATGGAAAACTAGTTTCAATCTTTTTCTTATTGATTTTGAATAAGATGGTGGCTCGTATGTCATTATCTAGATGCGAATTTGTGCCAACAAGAAAATATGGTATGCTTTAGTTGAAGTTAATGCTATGCTTGCTTTAATTGCAGGAAGGATCGTGAATTTAAGGTCTCAATCAAATTTGCTGCTAAACCTGACATACATCATCTTCAAGAATTCATGCGTGGTAGACAACTTGATACCCCACAAGAAACTATACAAGTTCTTGATGTGGTTTTAAGGGCAACACTATCGATGAAGTGATTTCTCTCACTGACCAATAACTATTATTAAGTTTTTTTTTTTGGTTTGAACTCTTGTTTTGTTTCTTTTTATCTTGGTCATGTGGTATATCAATTTCTGGGAACTGGGGTGATTGATTTTGAAGCTTTTGATTGCAGTAATGCAGTTGTGGGAAGGTCATTCTTCTCTCCAAGCTTTGGTGTAGGTGACCTTGGAAATGGATTTCAATATTGGAAAGGATTCTATCAAAGTCTTCGTCCTATTCAGATGGGCCTCTCCCTTAATATTGGTACAAATATTTTTCAATTTTCCACTCCCTCTTCCCATTTTTTAGGAAATATATAGCACTGGCTGAGATTATTATGGGCCTGCTCCAAAAATTATGATGTTGTTGATCATTCTTAATCGGGCATCTAAATGTTGTTTTGCAGATATGTCAGCCAGAGCATTCTACGAACCCATTCTTGTTACTGACTTTGTTGCAAAGTATTTCAATGTTAAGGATCTGACAAGGCCTCTATCCGATCAAGATTGTCTTAAGGTATTTTTTGGTAGCTATAACTCATGACATACAGTAGGATTTTATATTAATTTGTTGAAAAGTGAATACTAAAAATTTTAGGCTGAGATGGAACAAAACTGAGGGTTACGATATAGACTGAAGGTGAAGAAATGTGATTTCCATGACTAGATGCTATTCTTATAAGCATTTTGCTATTTTTTCTTTTGGGTGGTGGTGGTTATATTTCTGGTCAATATTAATATTTCAGGTTTAATGTTTTCTTTTTCCAAATTACTGGAACTGATTTTGTTTGTTATTATCAGGTCAAGAGAGCTCTCAGAGGCATTAAGGTTGAACTTGCTCACAGGAAGCATGTTCAGTGCCGTAGAATTTCAGGCTTGTCAGTTCGACCAACCAATCAGTTAACGTAAGTTAATAATCAGTATTATTTCTGTATGTGTTACACTGACATGTTTATTACATGATGAAGTGCTCTTTGTTTCCTCTAGTACATTTATTTAACACAATTGTGTCGTCATGTGAGGATATAACAAAAACAAAGAAGCACACAACTTGTTCTGCTGATGTTCTGTATCAGATTTAAGAATGTCTGTCGGTGGTAACATCAGAATCATATTGTTCTTTGGGTTTGAGCATCGGGGTTGTTAGGGATATTTTCTTGTTTTATTGTGTTTATGTATCAATGGAACTTGTGTTAACTTTGGCAATATGTTTGGCACTCATCCCAAGTTAGTACCTCATAGCTAATTTGTTGTTTTTTTATCTAGCAAATTGCTTCAATTGCATCCTACTACTACAATTGTACAAAAGTTCTTATTTGAGCATTGGGATGTTTTCTTATATACATATATCTTTTTGTTTAGAGTATTATCATTGATCAAACTTCTTTTCATATTGGTTTTAACTCTTTTTTTTGTTAATTTTTTTTATGCGCCTTTGACACTTGTATTGAATTACAGGTTCCCTCTTGATGACACTGGTGAAAAGATGTCAGTTGTTGAGTACTTTCGTCAGAAATACAATATTATACTTGAATATGCATTCTTGCCTGCACTTGTAGCTGGAAGTGATGCCAAACCTGTTTATCTGCCCATGGAGGTTTCTTCAATTATTTCGACTTTTGATATGTTTTCTGTTATTTGTGTCTTGTTTACTACACTTGTGACTTTAGTTGACAATGGTAGTTCTTTTGCTATAGATTTGCAAGATTGCTGAAGGGCAAAGGTACTCTAAAAAGTTGAATGAGAAGCAGGTGAGTGCCCTGTTAAAGGCAACCTGTCAACGTCCTGATGTAAGAGAGGGCAGTATTAAGCAGGTATGAGTTGTGTTCAGATTTTAAATGTATTCTGTTGCTGGAAGTTCTTGGCTTTGGTTATTTTGATTATTAAATAAAAAAGACCTTGGTGATGAAATTGTTCTCTTTTTATGTCTGGTCCATAGTATTTCTTACTAGACATAGATTGACTCTACAGATCGTTCGCCATAATAATTACAACAACGATAAGCTTGTGAATGAAGAATTTGGTATTCAAGTGAGGGCTGAACTTGCATCTGTTGATGCACGAGTTCTCCCACCTCCAAGGGTAATCTTCTGTGAATGAATCATTTTTATTTTCCATGTGTGAATGAGTCTAACATTGACTTTGGTGGTTCAGCTCAAGTATCATGATACTGGGAGAGAGACACAGGTTGATCCAAGGGTCGGTGTATGGAACATGATTGACAAGGTGAAACAGCAGTTATATTTTTGTGTTGTTGGTGATTGTTGGAATAAACCTGGGACGATTACCATATGATTCTTAAGTGTGTAGATTGATGTGGTTCTTTTTTTTCCCTTGTGGGTTGGATGCATCAAGAAAAAATGACAATACATTGTACAAATCTTTTGTCTGTATGGTATCTTTCAGAATTCTAGATTTCTATCAAATGGTTGATTTTCATTCACTATTTTTTTCTCCTGTCTGTTGGCTAGAACTAAAAAAATACTATTTTGGTTCTTCAGCAGCTAGATGACATTTAGTACTTGTGATTTTGTAGAAAATGGTTAATGGTGGCAAGGTGGAATTCTGGACATGCATCAGCTTTTCACGATCTAGAATTAATTTGGACCAGTTCTGCTGTGAATTGATTTCTATGTGTCGTAGTAAAGGGATGGTATAGATTTATCATTATATGCATGCAGTTGTCCATTTCAGTCGTTGCTGAACTAGAAAGAAAGAACCTGATGTTTTTGGTTTCCTTTTGATGAATGTGCAAGGATTTCAATGAGCCTTTCCTTCCTATTAAATCGGCATATCCTGGTCAAATTGAGAAGGATCTCCATGATATTCATGCCTGTTCTACTGAAAAATTAGCAAACATGGGATTGACAGGGAAGCAACTTCAGTTGTTAATTATTGTTTTGCCTGATGTCAGCGGGTCATATGGTTTGTTGTTGTACCCAGAATTTGAAATTTGCTCAGAGATGTGGTTGTTTACTTGCGTGACATTTTTTATGTTTTACAGGAAAAAAGGTACTCTAAAAAGTTGAATGAGAAGCAGGTGAGTGCCCTGCTAAAGGCAACCTGTCAACGTCCTGATGTAAGAGAGGGCAGTATTAAGCAGGTATGAGTTGTGTTCAGATTTTAAATGTATTCTGTTGCTGGAAGTTCTTGACTTTGGTTATTTTGATTATTAAATAAAAAAGACCTTGGTGATGAAATTGTTCTCTTTTTATGTCTGGTCCATAGTATTTCTTACTAGACATAGATTGACTCTACAGATGGTTCGCCATAATAATTACAACAACGATAAGCTTGTGAATGAAGAATTTGGTATTCAAGTGAGGGCTGAACTTGCATCTGTTGATGCACGAGTTCTCCCACCTCCAAGGGTAATCTTCTGTGAATGAATCATTTTTATTTTCCATGTGTGAATGAGTCTAACATTGACTTTGGTGGTTCAGCTCAAGTATCATGATACTGGGAAAGAGACACAGGTTGATCCAAGGGTTGGTGTATGGAACATGATTGACAAGGTGAAACAGTAGTTATATTTTTGTGTTGTTGGTGATTGGTGGAATAAACCTGGGATGATTACCATATGATTCTTAAGTGTGTAGATTGATGTGGTTCTTTTTTTTCCCGTGGGTTGGATGCATCAAGAAAAAATGACAATACATTGTACAAATCTTGTCTGTATGGTATCTTTCAGAATTCTAGATTTCTATCAAATGGTTGATTTTCGTTCACTATTTTTTTCTCCTGTCTGTTGGCTAGAGCTAAAAAAATACTATTTTGTTTCTTCTGCAGCTAGATGACATTTAGTACTTGTGATTTTGTAGAAAATGGTTAATGGTGGCAAGGTGGAATTCTGGACATGCATCAGCTTTTCACGATCTAGAATTAATTTGGACCAGTTCTGCCGTGAATTGATTTCTATGTGTCGTAGTAAAGGGATGGTATAGATTTATCATTATATGCATGCAGTTGTCTATTTCAGTCGTTGCTGAACTAGAAAGAAAGAACCTGATGTTTTTTTTTTTCTTTTTGATGAATGTGCAAGGATTTCAATGAGCCTTTCCTTCCTATTAAATCAGCATATCCTGGTCAAATTGAGAAGGATCTCCATGATATTCATGCCCATTCTACTGAAAAATTAGCAAACATGGGATTGACAGGGAAGCAACTTCAGTTGTTAATCATTGTTTTGCCTGATGTCAGCGGGTCATATGGTTTGTCGTTGTACCCAGAATTTGAAATTTGCTCAGAGATGTGGTTGTTTACTTGCGTGACATTTTTTATGTTTTACAGGAAAGATCAAAAGAGTGTGTGAAACAGAGTTGGGCATTGTCTCACAATGCTGTCAACCTAGGCAAGCACAAAAGAATAATAATAAACAGTATCTAGAAAATTTGTCTCTCAAGATAAATGTGAAGGTTGTATATCTGTTCAAATGTTCATATCAATTTAGGTTAAATTTTATTCTTTATATTATATGTGTCTATGGCTAATTGTTTTAAACTTCAATAGGTTGGGGGTCGAAACACTGTGTTGATGAGCGCTATTGAAAGAAGAATCCCGTTTGTGACTGATCGCCCTACAATCATCTTTGGAGCTGATGTAACTCATTCTCAACCTGGGGATGACGCAAGCCCACCCATTGCTGCGGTATGTCGTCTAGCATCTAAGCAAGAGCATCATGGAATTTTTTTGATGAAAGTTGGATTTATATTTTACAGGTGGTTGCTTCAATGGATTGGCCTGAGGTAACGAAGTACAGAGGACTGGTTTCTGCACAAGGACACAAGGAAGAAATCATCCAGGATCTCTATAAAACATATCGGGATCCTCAAAGGGGCACCGTTCATTGTGGAATGATTAGGTAAAAAGTCCACAACATTACTTGAATGTGTTTTTATAATTTTTCTTAACATCTTCTCTTATTTTTTATTTATTTACATTTTTCAGGGAGCTGTTAATAGCTTTCAAGACATCAACTGGGCAGAAGCCTCATAGAATTATATTCTACAGGTGAATACATGCTCCGGGGGTATGCAACTATGCTAATGTTATTAATACCTGTTCTGTACAACTATGCTAATCTTGTTTTTAATCTTGTAGAGATGGTGTTAGCGAAGGTCAATTCAACCAAGTTTTGCTCCACGAAATGGATGCAATCCGAAAGGTATATGTTTATACTGTCTTACTGATTGGCATGGTATTAAATAACACTAGTGTATTGGTGATATGGTCATATGGCTGGCGATATATTGGTGAATAGTGGCGATGTATCGGTGAATAGTGGTATCACTATGTATCGGTGAATAGTGGTATCGCTTGTCCCAATTCTGTTACGTATGGGCCGATATGATATGTAACAGTTGATATATTTGGGTACCGAAGTGATTTCTCCTTTTACATTGTTTTTTTACATATAAACCTGCTTTTTTTGTCAGGCTTGTGTTTCGTTAGAGGAACACTATCTGCCACGTGTAACCTTTGTTGTGGTGCAAAAGAGACACCACACACGCCTTTTCCCTGCAGATCATAGTGATCGTCGTTCAACAGATAGGAGTGGCAACATTCTGCCAGGTTTCAGACTTTGCCCCTCGTTATGAGTTTGTACGATGCCTTGTTTTGGAAACCATTGTTGTATATTGATGATTATTTGCATGGTTGTGATCAGGTACGGTTGTGGACACCCACATTTGCCACCCTAATGAATTTGACTTTTACCTATGTAGCCATGCCGGAATTCAGGTAAAGCAATGTTCAAGTTATTTTCATTTTATTTTCTTGCAAGCATTTGATAATAATGGAAATTTTGCAAGAAAGATGGAAATTTAAAATTTTAGTTATACAAATTCAGTGTTGTAGATTTTAAGACAGATTTCTGTGACAAATGTCAATTGTTTTTTGTATCTGTCTGAGTAGGGCACAAGCCGTCCTACACACTATCACGTGCTGTACGATGAGAACCAATTCAGTGCTGATGCCTTGCAAACACTGACAAACAGTTTGTGTTACACGTATTTCTTCTCCTCTCTAGACTTGAAGATTTTCAATCTCTAAATATATATATATATTTTTCTCATTATTTTGGTGAAGTTTTTTAAATTTCTACTAACAATTATTTTCTTTCTTCAGCTACGCAAGGTGCACTAGATCTGTTTCCATAGGTTCGTCCTTCATCTGTCGACTCTTATCGTTTTGTTCTTTAATTATAGACAGTAATTTGTGCAAAAATTGTTCTTCCAACAAATAATCCTTAACTTTAATCCATTATTAAATGCAGTGCCTCCCGCTTACTATGCCCATTTGGCTGCCTTTCGTGCTCGCTTCTATATCGAGGGAGATACTTCTGAAAATGAATCAACTAGCGGTGGAAGGAATACAAGGGAGAGGAGTATAGAGGTCCGACCACTACCTGCGATCAAAGCAAACGTCAAAGATGTTATGTTTTACTGCTAAGTAGTAGCTAACTGCCTGTGTTTTGTTTTATACATTAGTGTTTTTGTGGCCGACAAGTAGAATTCATGCTTTCGACTTGAATGCGTAGCTCGTAGGTTTTTATTTTTTGGTGCTGGCCAGTTTCTTTTTGGCGCGGATATTTTTTTGTGTGCTGCTGGCCAGATTATGATATTTTGCTTAGTGCTGGTAATGTATGAACTTTTATATTTGAATTGGCAAAGGATTGTTCATGTTGATGTGTCTCGAAAGAAATTTAAACTTGTGTAGAGAACACAAGCTTTTTATTCATATTCAATATTTGTATTTTTTTTGTTAACAGAACGATCTGAGTAATTTTGTTCTATTTCTTCTCTATTCTATTTGTATTGGTTTAATGAGAGGAGAGAATTACTTACCCAAAAAAAGGAGAAAATTACAATTATTTGATCAGAGTAGTTTAGGTATATAAAAAGTTTATCTCTACACATGATTTCATTTTGCATGTTTTTTCACTCCTAGATATATGATATAATAAGATCTACATTAAATGCATGTGGAATTCATCGAGTAAATACAAAAAAATTGAAATTATTTGTAGTTTTTTCATATGAAAAACATTACAGTGGTTCAAAACCATCAATAATTTGGCCATGCACCTCTTTAAATTAAATTGTTAAATTGATTTTTACGGAGGATATAAGAAAGTGCTACTATATATTAAAAAAACAAAAGAAAGAAGAATAAATGTTGTACATATATATATTTCACCATTTTGGATTTTTTTTTTTGGTTGAAGTTGTTTAGATCTTTCTAGGGGAAATTACAATTCACATTATTTTTTAAAAAATAATTACAAAATCATATTGATAAAATTTTTCACTGATTTATAATTATTTTTTTTTGGAAGTCCTTGTACCATACATTTTTCAAGTTGGGGTTACTGTGTGCCCTACCCATTTTTCTTGTATCAAAGATGGAGCTGACAAATTAGTATTTTTATAGGTCTGCAGATCTGTTTTTCACCCAAAAACAGGAAAAACAAAACAAAAAACAAAAAAAATTGACTCTGCAGAATGCTGCTTGGAGCCAGCTTGTTTGTGCAAACAATAGTTGAATTTTCAAATTATTTCAAAAATATTTCTCTACTTATCAAATGATTTAAGAAGTAAGTTAAAAATTAATTTTTAATTTTTTTGTTTGAAAAAATATATAAAAAAATAGAGGTGATGTAATTCAGAAAAACCAAAAAGCCAATAAATTGGCTTTTAACATACTTTTCAAAATAGACCGACATCTCAAATGACCAGTTACCTCACCTGTATTTTTTTGGAAAATAGTTTGTGTAATATATGAATTTTGATTGGCCTAAAATATTAGATTTCATATTCCAAAAGTGTATTGATCTCACTTAAAACTGTAGTTTTCATTATTTTTCACTAATAAAACAATGTGTATGCATGCTTGCTGAAAAGTACTAAATGGAGCACGGCGGATCACTCGCTCGGAGACCGGAGGACGGCGCAGGGATGAAAGGCCTCTCCACGGCAACTGACCAACAGCACAACCAAGACTTGAATGTTGACTCGGAGCAATCAGCTGAGGAAGAGGACTTACTGGAACGCCATCTAAGGAAGAAGAGCAGCACTTTGGTAGGAAATGTTATTATCGATCGTTCTTTCAGGGAGGTTCTCTCCTCCCCACTTGGCCTAAAAGTTGGTGCCAGAGAAACATACCACCGGGAAATCTCAGAAAATCTGGAAGAAGAAAGTGAACGATGTTCAAATTTTGGCGCCCTTTGCCCAAGATCAGATTGTCACCTCGTTGACCCACCTACCCACAATTGTTCCTTCGGTCAGTAACCTTTCAGCCACCCCTTTTGTCCCTCTTCATAACTCTTTCAATTGTCTTTCTGACCCAACTTTACCTTCATTGGAAACTGTTCCTAGTACCACTTACACCGTTATAGCTTCATCCCCTACCTTACCTCCTGGTACCTCTATATCTGATGCTGCAAATTCTGATCCTCTAGGATCTCGTTTACTTACCCTTTTGTCTTGTCCTATCCCCACCTCGATTGGTATGCCTTTTGTTGCTTTATCACCTCCCACCTTCCTTGCCATTACCACTGCCTCATCATTCTCTCACCCCTTCCCTAGATCTCACCATGCCTCGCTGAACCCACCATCCCAGAACCCCTCGCAGTAGCCCAAGCCAACTACCCAGCCCCAACTAGGAATGACAATTTGAACCCGGCCCGACGGGACCCGACCTCCCGACTTTGATTAACATGGTTTTTTCTCAAAAAATACCCTCTACGGGCCGGTGATGGTATTAAAAAAAAAATCCTCGATCATTTTCGGGCCGGGGACGGTGATAAGTGCTTCCGCCCTGGCCCGACCCGGGCCCCGTTCCCCGTCCCGTTTTTGCCCCGCCTCCCTCTCCTCTCTCACTCACTTACCCACTAATATATATACTCCTCTCTCTCTTTCTCTCTCTCTCTCTCTCATCTCAATTCTAACAATCCCAAAACAAACACACCTCTCCTCTCTCTTATTTTAGATCTCCAGCTTGTTTGTGCAAACAATAGTTGAATTTTCAAATTATTTCAAAAATATTTCCCTACTTATCATATGATTTGAGAAGTAAGTTAAAAATTAATTTTTAATTTTTTTGTTTGAAAAAATATATAAAAAAGTAGAGGTGATGTAATTCAGAAAAATCAAAACGCCAATAAACTGACTTTTAACATACTTTTCAAAATAGACCGACATCTCAAATGACCAGTTACCTCACCTGTATTTTTTTGGAAAATAGTTTGTGTAATATATGAATTTTGATTGGCCTAAAATATTAGATTTCATATTCCAAAAGTGTATTGATCTCACTTAAAACTGTAGTTTTCATTATTTTTCACTAATAAAACAATGTGTATGCATGCTTGCTGAAAAGTACTAAATGGAGCACGGCGGATCACTCGCTCGGAGACCGGAGGACGGCGCAGGGATGAAAGGCCTCTCCACGGCAACTGACCAACAGCACAACCAAGACTTGAATGTTGACTCGGAGCAATCAGCTGAGGAAGAGGACTTACTGGAACGCCATCTAAGGAAGAAGAGCAACACTTTGGTAGGAAATGTTATTATCGATCGTTCTTTCAGGGAGGTTCTCTCCTCCCCACTTGGCCTAAAAGTTGGTGCCAGAGAAACATACCACCGGGAAATCTCAGAAAATCTGGAAGAAGAAAGTGAACGATGTTCAAATTTTGGCGCCCTTTGCCCAAGATCAGATTGTCACCTCGTTGACCCACCTACCCACAATTGTTCCTTCGGTCAGTAACCTTTCAGCCACCCCTTTTGTCCCTCTTCATAACTCTTTCAATTGTCTTTCGGACCCAACTTTACCTTCATTGGAAACTGTTCCTAGTACCACTTACACCGTTATAGCTTCATCCCCTACCTTACCTCCTGGTACCTCTATATCTGATGCTGCAAATTCTGATCCTCTAGGATCTCGTTTACTTACCCTTTTGTCTTGTCCTATCCCCACCTCGATTGGTATGCCTTTTGTTGCTTTATCACCTCCCACCTCGCTTGCCATTACCACTGCCTCGTCATTCTCTCACCCCTTCCCTAGATCTCACCATGCCTCGCTGAACCCACCATCCCAGAACCCCTCGCAGTAGCCCAAGCCAACTGCCCAGCCCCAATTAGGAATGACAATTTGAACCCGACCCGACGGGGACCCGACCTCCCGACTTTGATTAACATGGTTTTTTTTCAACAAAAAAAAAAAATCCTCAGTCATTTTCGGGCCGGGGACGGTGATAAGTGCTTCCGCCCTGGCCCAACCTGGGCCCCGTTCCCTGTCCCGTTTTTGCCCCACCTCCCTCTCCTCTCTCACTCACCTACCCACTAATATATATACTCCTCTCTCTCTCACCTCAATTCTAACAATCCCAAAACAAACACACCTCTTCTCCTCTCTCTTATTTTAGATCTTTCTCTTTCTCTTTCTCTCATCTCAGATCTAATCCTTCTTCCTCCACCTCTCTCTGTCTCTCATCTCTCCGCCGCCATGGCCGCACTTCGTTTCTTGATACAGGCGGTGCAACCAGAGTCTCCTTCTTCTCTCTTCAACTCGTTGCACCAGAACTTTGACAGCTCTGCCGTAACCAGAGTCTCCATCTTCTCTCTCAAGCTCGTCGCCTGTCAGCAATCGAGACCTCTCTTCTCTTTCCTTATGTGTGTGTGTGTGTGTATGATGATGATGATGATGGCGACTCAGATCTCAGATCTGCAGATGTGTGTGTATGTGTATATTGATGATGATGATGACGACTCAAAATCTCAGATCTCAGATCTGCAGATGTGTTTGTGTGTGTGTGCGGTGACGATGATGACGACGACGACTCAGCTCTGTAACTTCGTCACCGTCGGGGATTTTTTGAGGTTTGGAAAACCCGATCTCCATTAGGAGGCGGAGGCGGGGGCGAGGGCGGGGGGATGATGGGTTCCCCGCTGGGGATCAGGGGTGGGGACGAAAAATTCCATACTTTCAGGGATCGGGGACTGGGAGTGCAATCCCCAGCCCCGGCTCGGCCCGTTGCCATTTCTAGTCTCCACACAGCTCCAGCCATCCCCATTTTGTTTGACCAATGTAAAGGGTCAAAACCATTCGGGTTGGTTCACGAAGACAACAGCTGGATACTCCAGAGTGGACGACCGACTACTTGAGATGCTCCAAGGAGACCTAACCTTTGTACTGGGCTGGTACGATCCAGAGATTATGAGATGTGTTTGTGTGTGTGTGCGGTGACGATGATGACGACGACGACTCAGCTCTGTAACTTCGTCACCGTCGGGGATTTTTTGAGGTTTGGAAAACCCGATCTCCATTAGGAGGCGGAGGCGGGGGCGAGGGCGGGGGGATGATGGGTTCCCCGCTGGGGATCAGGGGTGGGGACGAAAAATTCCATACTTTCGGGGATCGGGGACTGGGAGTGCAATCCCCAGCCCCGGCCCGGCCCGTTGCCATTTCTAGTCTCCACACAGCTCCAGCCATCCCCATTTCGTTTGACCAATGTAAAAGGTCAAAACCATTCGGGTTGGTTCACGAAGACAACAGCTGGATACTCCAGAGTGGACGACCGACTACTCGAGATGCTCCACGGGGACCTAACCTTTGTACTGGGCTGGTACGATCCAGAGATTATGAATATCTGGATGAGTCTCTCTCCCTTTCTCCCTCTCCCATCC